GCTATGCACTTATATAAGTACATGCATATTAAAGGACTGTATCGGAATTCAGTTTGCTTCACTGTGAAGTTTTTTTCAAATGTGTAAACTACTCATACTCTAACAAAGAGGGCATGGAAGGAAGAGAAGTGAAGATGTTGAGCGCTGTATACATAAAAAAAAGTACTCTAACAAATTATGTTCCGAAATCAGCAGTACCATGCTGTTGTACTTCCACAAAAAATATGTTCCTTCACAAGTATTTTTTGAGTATTTTTAGAAGTTTTCGTTTAATGCTACATAATGTTAATGTTGGAGCTGACACTTATGTTAAATAGCAAACATGGAGAAACAATGTAGGGCGCTCCGAATATTTTGCCAACAGCATATTTTTATAAAGAAAGTGGACTCACTCATTTTATACAGAGAACCAATTTTTATTTGTACAATACGATACCTTCATTTCCCAGTACCAGGCGCACATACATATGAAGTAGCAAGCTTTCCCTATGCATACATTTGTTTGTAGAAGATTTTAATTCGTTTGCAGAAGCCTTTGGCAATTCACAAAGTAGAATTTTGGAAATTTAAAAATTTATACAAACAATTTTCTGCTTAGAAATAGAAAACTTGTTACTTCACATGTATGAGCGCCTGTTATTGGGAAATGAAAGTATCAATTCGACAATAAAAACTGGTCATAAAGACGGTCGGGGGAAAATGGACACACATTTTTTGTTATATAAAAAATTTATATAATATGTATGTACATAAATCATGTATATGAAAGATTCGAACTTTTTTGCAAGCATTGAAGCGTCCGGCGAGAAATGCAAAACAATATTTTAAGCATATATTGGAATAAAAAGAAAATGTATGTCTTTTCTTAACATTATGTTTAATGCTAACATTTTAAAAGTTAAACTTCATAAGTATTCCTATACTTCATATGAAGTTTTCAAATATTACTGAATGCAATCAACATACTAAATTACTCTGGAAAAGCGGAACAGTGTTTTATGCAGCAGAGCGCTGTTGAGTAACATTGCTTAGTTCCTCAAATTTATGATGGTCTCTTTGTTTGTTTCTATCTTTTTAAGTACTCTAAAATATATGTTCCATTTACTCATGTACACATGTGAAGAGTATTTCTGCTGGTATATTTGCAATGCTTTAATGCATACAGATACACACGTATATAAATATGTACATATGTATGTGTGTGTGCATGGATATGAAATGCAGACCTTCCCCTGCAAAAAATGGGACTAATCCGGGCTGACTCCGGGAGCAATCGCAATGGAGCATGCGACTAATACCACTTTTGATCTCTTTATATGGAATGAACTGTTTTGTTCGAGCATGCCCTATGAAGAGACTAATTGTTCACCTTTATACCCGAACGGGTATAAAAAGCAACTACTAGTCACTTATAAAAAATAAAAATTTGCGCCAGCTGAGATCCGAACCGGGGTGCTCAGTTCTGTTAGGACTCTCTCTGTGTGCCAATGCCGCACATGAAATTTCTTTGACTAAGTGCGTACATATCATTAAATCGTTAATAGTACCCGTTAGAGATGAGTTGGGGACTAATTGATCTCCAATTATATCCATAAGGGATGAGTCGAGACTAATTGACCTCCATTAGTACCCGTATGAGACTAGTTGGGACTAACTAATGCCCAATTGTACCCGATTGAGAGTAATCTCGAAATACTCTCTTTAGAGATTAGTCGCACAATTTTTTGCAGGGTCGTTTTATTGAGTTTTCTTCTAAGTAATACATACCAGGGTTGTTGCGAATATTCGCATTCGCAACCGCGGAGCTTCCGCATTCATTTTAATATTCAAATTCGCAATAATCAATTCGGATCTTTTGCGAATGCGAATATTGAAGGGACCGAAAATAACAGTTTTTTTTTTACCAGTTAAACTTGGCCAAATATTTTTTATTCCCAATTAAAAGTCTTTTCCGGATAATAAACAAACCACTTATGCAAATTAAACAAAATTGGTACTAAATGAAGGAAATGTCTAAACGAGCAAAGCCACCCATTGAAAAATATTTCAATAAAAAATGTTAATTAATTACCATAGATCAAACCATGGGTCTGGTATATGAATTTCTTTAGTATTAAATGATAAAAAAATACCATTACTAGCGTTATTTCTGCTTAAAAGCAGTTGTGCGGAATTTCATAGCACGGTTATTCGCAAAGCGAAATAAATTTTTTTCTCTTCACTCCCTGGCGGCAACAATGATCTGGTTCTATAGCGAATGTCCTAGAAGCTTTACAGTATAGTAGGTGGCAATTTCAAAATGAGTGCGAATCATTGTTCTACAGAAATGCAATATACATATACTTATTTTAGACGAAATACCTTAAAGGTTTGAACGTATAATAATATTGGAAAATCACATCCATTGGGCCAATTGCAACGCAGGAGCGTTCGATATACTCAATGGTGCAACAGGTCGATTTAATCTGACCTTCACGGCCCCTTTTCTTACTTGGCTATTTTTAGTAATAGCTCGACTTCAGCACCACTTGGGAGCACGTTTTTGCAATAGTATTGCATACATATTTAAAACATTAGCCAAATCGTATCATAAATAAAATTTTTAGTAATAACTCAACTGCTAAAGGTCGGTACGTTTGTAGGCCTCACACCCCTTTTCAAATAGCCCAAATTTTCTCCATGAATATGGGCTTGATTTCAACTATATACATATCTCCATACGAAGTTCCAGTACTGTACCATGAATACTTTCAGAGATATGCAGTATAAAAATTCGATTGATATGGGAGGTGTCACGCCCCCTTTCCAAGAGATGCCCTCTTTCTTCATGAGTATTCGATTGATTTCGTATATCTCCATACCAAGTACCAGAACTCTACCATGAACACTTCCAAAATAGGCAGTATGAAAAATTCGGTTTGTATGGAAGATGCCACGCCCCTTTTTCCAATAGTTCCAATTTTTCTCCAAGAGTATGCGATTTATTTCGTACATCTCCATACAAAACTCTAGAGCTCTACCAAAAAATTTCCAGAGATAAGCAGTATGAAAAATTCGGTTTGTATGGGAGATGTCACACCCCTTTTTACAATAGCTAAAATTTTTATCCAAGGGTATGCGATTGATTTTGTATATCTCCATACCAATTTCCAAAACTCTACCATGCACACTTTCAGAGATATGTAGCATGAGAAATTCGGTTTGTATGGGAAGTACCACGCCCCCTTTACATATAGATTTTTTTTCAGCCTAAAACCATCCTTGGGACACGTGCGGCAGGTGGCAGTTTCAAAAAAATCGGTTCAGCCGCTCTCGAGCCTTGCGAAAACTAACAAACGGCTTTCTAAATATAAATTAGTTGAGATATATTCTATATTATAATTATATTTTGACAGTATCCGTTGTTTCTGATTAGCGCAAAAAAATCTTGCCTAGTGACGAATTCGCCCCTTGATATGGTCATTACTTAAAGCTATTTATATTCGAAATTGCATGAAAATTGGAAAACAGGAATCTATAAGCTTATCCAGGCAAAAAGCTACCTACGTACCGAATTTTAAGCAAATCGGACCATAAATACGATTTCTTCGAATAGATCGGTCCCTGGACCACTTCCCGGAAAAAATGGGTCATATATGCTAAAAAGCTACTTACGTACTAAATTTTAAGCAAATCGGATCATCGGTCCACCTACCCGAAAAAAAGTAAAATTTTTTCAGCCTAAAACATGGTGGTTACCGAAAGCTATTTGTATACAAAATTTCATGAAAATCGGACCAGCTGTTCGCGAGATTACCTGTTACAAAAAAGGGACTTCTCTTTATATAATTAGTATAGATATGTGGATGGCATCACGCCCATTTTCCAAAATTCCATAATAATGTTACTTCTTTTCAAAGGATAGTTGTTAGTATAAATTTTGGGTAAAATTAGCGTTATAAAAAGGTGGTCGTAATTTTAGTCAGATTTCAATTACTTTCAACGTTTTGCCTTTATGTGGCAACCACAATAATCATACCGAGTGTGGTACACATTGATAGAGCGGCTACCGAGATACATTGCACATATGTGGTTATAAGTGGGCGGAGTCACGCCCATTTTCCAACCTTTTATTATAAGCCTATTTTTTGCTTAAGAATTATTGCAAAAATTAATTTTGAATAAATTAGGTTCAGTATTTACTGATTTATAGAAGCTTTCGTATTTCTCTAAATTACCGTTATATGGGATATGGGCGTGGTTATTATCCGATTTTCTAAATTTTAAGCCGTTTAGTATGTTTTGTGAAGGCCAACAACTGTGCCAAGTTTGGGAGAAATTGGTGGAGCGGTGGCTACGCCTATTTTCCAAAAATTTATAATATTCTTATTTTTCGCCTAAAAATGATTGTAAATATTAACTTTGAGTGAATAAGCTTCAGTAGTTACTTAAATATCGCAGTTTTCGCATTTCTCAAAACTGCCGTTATATGGGAGGCGGGCGTGGTTATCGTCCGATTTTGCCCGTTCCGTTCCATCCGTCCAACGCTCACAAGAAGTACACATACCAAGTTTCGTTAAGATATCTCAATTTGTACTCGAGTTATCGTGTGCACAGACGGACGGACGGACGAACAGACAGTCACCGCTTAATCGATTTCTCTTTTCATTATGATCATTTATGTATATATTTGTCTATATCTATCTCGATTCGTTTTGCCTGTTACAAACAACCGTTTTTTGAACAAATTTATAATACCCTTGTGCACAAGTGCGTTCGGGTATAAAAATACTTGACATCCGCATTCGCATCCGCATCCGCGGATGTTTGCGTTTAAACACCCGCATCCGCATTCGCATCCGCGGATGTCTAAAATTCCACATTCGCAACATCCTTGATACATACATCCATACATATTCTTATTCCATTTACGTGTGTACATATATTTTTGGTTTCTTATTAATATCCTTATAATGGCGAATCGAAACATCTAAAAGAAATAAAAAATTTATATGTATTCATGCCTATTATGGTATTCGACAGATGGTTGCGGAGGGAGTTTTACTCACTTTTGACAGAATTTGCTATTATCGAAAACGCTCGATAATGCAGTTTCGGGATGAGTCAAAAGAGGTTAATGCAGTTTGCGAATGAAATAAAAAAGTGGCATCATTGTAAACGCATCCGATCCGTGATTCGTACAAATTTCTCTATCTGTCATTCACGCGCCATTGTGCTGCGGATACTAAAAACGATAAGATGGATAGCAATAAAATGTAAGAAAAATCACAATTATTTATCCCTTTAATATTGTAATATTGTAAAAAACACAAACTTATGTGTTTTAGGAAGCGTACAACGACCAGGGAGCAATTTAAATGTTTAGTTTCCAAAATGAAGGAGCATCCGGACATAGCAAAAATTTTTACTAAAAATGCACCTGATTTGGTAGAAAGATTTTGGGAAAGTGTGCGAGAGGAGTTGAATTCGATTGGACCGCCATCAAAAACCATTGCCGAATGGAAAAAGGTTTGCGAAATGTTGAAAAGCTAAAATATATTATTCACTTAATTTGAACCACAGGTTTGGTCGGACTATAAATCGGCGATAAAGAAGAAGCTCGCGCATAACAAAAGAGAGCTACAAGCGACTGGTGGAGGAGAAAATAGGGAAATTCCCTTAACATCTATGGAAGAAGAATTTGCTACCCTTGTGTGTCTTAATGATTGCGTTGGTGGTATTAGAAACTCCAAACAGTTTGGAGTGCCACAGGGGAGAAATGATGATGACGCAGTTCCATCTACATCGAGAAATGTTCCACAGATGAGAGCTTCTGCTACGAGAGATGTACCGCAGGAGAGAATATCTGAGGACACTTCTCCACCTACTCGGAGAGATTAGGATAGTATTGAAGCTCATGAAGACGTAAATATTGAGAATGACCAAAATATTTCTAACCAAAGAAGAAAAAAGAGACCCGAGCAATTCGATTTATTAGAGAAGCAAATAGGGGTTCAAGAAAGACTGTACGAAAAAATGTCTGAGGCTGTTGAGAACCAACAGGAATATTTTCAATACATGAGGGACCATTTAAAAAGACTGAATAGATCAGTAGAGAGGCTAGGCGACCAAAAAAAGAAAAATGAAATTCTTCAGAATACTCTTGAAGAGATTAAAAGACATAACGCTGTGATGGAAAAGGCTGCTATAGAAAAATTAAGATTAAAAAGGGAACTTTTAAATATTGAGTTAAATAACGTCAACAGACACCGTAATTCTTAAAATAAGTGGGACCTGACAATTTTTTTATGAGATTTGTTTTTATTTTGTATTGGATTTTTTTATTTATGACTGTAGTGCCTGAATACTCCCTGAACAGGAAGGCTTTATTATTTAAGTTTTTTTTTTTCTGTTTTTGAAAATACTGTGTATGTTAACCAATGAAGTGATATGATTTTATTTTTATCTACATCCTTAGTGTGTAGACAACTTTGTGCAACACTTTGCCAGGAAGGCTTTTTACTTAAATATTAAGAAATATGTATGAAAATGAATTTTGTGATAATAAATAGTTTTATTTTACAAAAAGCTACGTAACATCTCATTGCGAATTTGAGTTGCTTCATTTGTATATCGTTGAGGTTGTACAGGTTCGCCTACATATTCATCGGGTTCGTAGACTTCCTCCTGGTATTCGTCGGAAATATTATAATGTATTCGAATGTTGTGAAGTGCTGCCGCAACGTTTACAATTTGAACCACTTTCTCAGGAGCATAATGTAGTTGGCGAGCAGAAAGGAGACATCGGCACCAGTTCTTCCAAACGCCTATGGTCCGTTCAACAATAATACGGCCTTTACTATGGCTTTTATTAAATCTGCTTTCTGGACTATCAACGCCTGCACTTCGAAAGGGAGTTATAAGCCAGGGTAACAGTGGATATCCAGATTCACCTATGGAAGATCATTACAGTTAAAATACGCACTTTGATTATTCGTTATTTTTTTGTACCTAGCAGTCTTGTGCTTCTGTCTCCATTTTCATACTGCGCTTGGAAGTAGGTGGAAGTATCACTATTTTCCCAAATAAAAGAATCGTGACTTGCACCTGCATACCTACTGTTCACATACCTTATTCTTTGCTTATGGTCACATATCTGAAAATGCAAAATAAAAGAATATAAATAAATAATAAATTGAAGAAGTTCAAACTCATTTAGTTCTTACTATCATTGCATTAACACTGTAATATCCTTTCCGATTATAATAAAGGTGTGCATTGCCTGCAGCTGGTTTAAGAATTTTAATGTGAGTACCGTCAACACACATGACAATTCCAGGAATTCTAGTTTTTTCGAAAAAATATCTTTTCGCTTCAAGTTTTTCATTGTCTGTCATTGCTAAAGTAATCCATCTGGGACATAAAGTGGCTTCTAAGAAGTTTAGTACATCAGAGAGTACTACAGAGACTGTGGATTGTGCCATGCCAATATTAAAATCTTGGCCAGTACCATTCTGATAGCCCCCTTCAGCTAAAAACCTTAAACAAGCTTCTAATTTAAGCTCTGGTGTTATGGAACATGATCTTCGAACTTGAGGCAATTTCTGCATTAATATTTCTAAAACGTACTTGAATGCTAACTTGTTAAGCCGGAACTGTTTTACAAATCTGTATAAGGAACTCACATGTTAAAATGAAATAAAGACTTCAATAAATTTACTCACACCTCATCCGGCAACTCGAATACATTATCCCTGACTTTCCTTCTAGTCCGTCGCATATCACTCGTGGTGTTTTCATCGAAATCAATAAAAAAAGCCACAGAATCCATTTAATATTTGCAATAAATTTCACCAATGTTAACAAATCCTTCACACATATAAGCACAGCTGATTATGTTGGCAATACAGTTCACAAGAGGCAACGCAGTGCATCCGTCGGTATCAATAATACCGGTTACTTAAAAAAGTGAATCGAGTACGGATCGGAATAGATCCGAGCGGATGGAATCCGTCGGATACCATAATAGGCATGATTGTTTTTTCTGCTTTTCTTTACTCTCAGTCTTCACCAGACGCCCACTTTTCTCATTCGGCAATCTTATCCCTACTAAGTTCCATTCATCAGATATAATAAATAAACGCAATCATTATAATAAAATAACATGCAGATATACCTTTATACAGAAAAGTGTACGCTTGGAATATACTTTAACTACAGGTATGCGTGTATGTTATTTATATGTACATACTAGGTATGTTGCGAATGTGGAATTTTAGACATCCGCGGATGCGAATGCGGATATTTAAAAGATAGCTACTTTTAAGAAATAATTTAGGTAAATAAGAAATGGAAAAGTTAGTACTTTTTAATATTTTATTTTATTTTATTTAGTACTTGAATTCAAAAATTGGAGCATCGTATTTAATAAAGGGTAATTTTGCTGCCTTTTCGGTAACGGCCTATCTAATCTAATCTAATTGAGCGTACATAAAATATGATGAATAAAGCGGAATGTTGTTGTAGCAATAAAGGGTCGTAAATCAAACCTGCGCCACTAAATAACTACTCGCTCGAGGTGACAAACTTGAAAAACTTGAAGCTTGACAAAATTGGAAATTCTTTTCGATTGATGCACCAGTTGAGAGGACTTTTATTCTTTTTTCCTTTTTTATTGTGGTGCAATAATTCCTTTTTGAAAATTGCACCGGCTTGCTTTTCCTCCTGACTTTCATCTTCACAATCTAGCATCATGGCAAGAACGTTGTTTAAACACTGTTGTTTTCCAATTTGGATAACCAATTCATTTGGTTGTTTCAGAATTTGGAGAACCTGTTATGTCATCAGCGTTTTTCGATTTTAGTTTTTTTAATTCATTTGTCATCCTGTCTTCTGTGACTGGTTTGAAAAATGTGCGCTTGTATCGAGGTTCTAAACAGGTGGATATGACAAATACATTATTATTTTCTAGGAATGAAAATTTCGAAGAACTTTCTGTTTTGAAAGTCGAATTAGTTTAAAATCCTGTTATCTTGTTGTTTTTTAACTATTGGAATCACGGACGATGAAGGTCTCAAATCTGCTTAGTTCCCGAGTGACTTCTTGGAAAGGTTCACCCGTAATGAATAGCTTGTAATTAGTGTTTTTATTAGCTGAGCTCGACTTTTCCTAGTTGCAGGCAGTCACAATTATGTACTCACCGCTGTCGATACCATAAGCCATCAAATCCGCTTTGTTGTTCCATTACATGCGCTCAATGTGCTTTGATATTTTGAGGCGAATGTACCAAAATGTTCAACATATCGTGGTTATAGTATGGAAAGGGTGTATTTCTCATTGTCGCGGAAATACAAAAAAGCTACAACTAACTAAATTTTTGTATTGCATAAAACGATGTGGGGACTTATGATTCGATGAAATGCATCATAATCAATCAAAAAGTGAATTTTGGATTTTTAGTTAGTAACGGCTTTTTGTAATTGAGCGACGATGCGAGTTGTTGTTTCCGAGCCGAATAAAAGGAAATACGGAACTTTATCACAATAAGTTTTATGAGAAAAAAAAAAATAATTACACTTATCTAAGAAAAAGTGAAAAAGAACTAACGATGCACGCAGTTTTTGAAACAGACCTTTGAAAATAATATTCGGTAGTTACATAATTCATACCTAATTAAAGGTTATCTGGAAATACCCATTGAAGGATCTTACTTTTTGACTTTAAATTACAAAAGAAGGGGGACATAGGGGAACTGTTTTAGCATGACATCTCCACAGGCAAAAAATGTTGGCTACAATTTGTCATTTTGTTTGGCAGATATACGTTTTATCAGTGCACTTGCACAATATTCGCATTCACAAAAGCTCCGCATTGATTATTGCGAATGTGAAAGCGAATGCGAATGTTAAAATTAATGCGAAAGCTCCGCGGTTGCGAATGTGAATATTCGCAACCCTAAGACATACATACATATATGTTACCACCATAATTCAACATTTGCGTATTCCTACATTCCTTCCAACCGAAAAACATTTGCTTGCATTACTTACATACATACATATGTACATATATATGTATCAGAGAGCAGCTTTGAGTATGATTGAGCCTTTTTGATCACCCTCACTACAAATCGAGCACAAGCGAACGCCACACTCGGCTACTATGTGTTAGATCGAGATGCACACCTGACAGCTGATTTGAGTACGAACGAGTCTGTTCGGTCACCCTCGCTATAAATTGAGCACAAGCAAACACCACACTCGGGCACCTGCAGCTACCCGAAAATTTGTGTAACAATGAAACGGACACCCGAATGCAGGACAACAATAAATTTTACGCTGAAGGTAACTGGCCAAGAATGATAGAATACAAGATTGCGCCAATCGAGCTGAGAGCAACTGGCCGTGACGTCAAAATATACCAGAATGATAGAGCAAGATTGAAGGT